TGATATGACTTTTTGTTCTGGGTCTTTGTGACCTGGTACCTGATCCCATGATCATGATCACACAAGCTGGTGTGCTTCTTCCATATGGGCCTTGTTGCTTCTCAGCTAGATGTCCACTTGTTTATCTTCAAGCCTTTAAGACCCCAGACACCATATCTTTTGAGAGCCAGGCACCATCAGCATTCTTCACCACATTTGCTTATGCACCCATTTTGTCTTCAGCAATCATGTCAGGGAAGGTGAGCATCACAGAATGCTGGGTTATTAGAACAAAGTGTTCATGCATTGAGGGAGTACTTGAGTAGAGGCCGAATGTCCATCTGCTACTTTAATACTTAACATATAAAATATATGTACATAGATTTCCCTATCATTATATATAAATATACGTACATATGTGCATGCCTGTATTTAGACCTCCATAAATGTCCTTGGCCTCCTACTTCTTTCCTCTATTTCGAAAGGCTACTTTTTCAATGTGTTCCATTTTGTACTGCTTAAATTTTTTTAACGTGTGCACATTTGTGAAAATTTTTAAATAATGAATAAGTGTTCAAATAATAAACTGAAGGTAATAAATCATAAGGTTCTTATTACAAAAACAAAAATATAAAATTTTCTAAAATGAAACATATCACCAAATAATATTTTTTAATATATAATTGAATCCTTTCAGAGTAGATAGAACTCAGCCAGCCCCAAAAGGAACTAAGTTCTCTTATTTTATCCTATCGGCCAGGAACTTATTCTAAACATAGATTTTACAAGAAACTTTTAGAGAAATCATATATTGCCAGAATGCAAAGGGTTATCAACATAAGAGGAAGCAATCAGATGAAAGAAATGGAGCAGACTCTACCAAGTGAACTAATCAGAAACCTTTCTCAATTTGATAGAAAGTTATACCATTTTCTTGAAAGTACTTAAGTCACCCACCTTTTATTATAATTCTCACCCAAATCATGCAAAATGTAGGCTTGCAAATCTAACTTTTTATACATTTTGACTGTGAAGTGGAGGTGGGCCTTGTGATGTACAAGTCACTCTAGACCTGCTAGATTAAGGGTAGCGGCCAAAAACACATAAAGTATTTAACGAACATTTATACGACAGTCTCTTCACTAGCACCTCTAATCAATTAACAATTTTGTAAGGATCTAAGCTTTTTCAAATATTATTCACACTAATCTGCATCCAACACTCAGACTAGAAGGTCCTTGAAGGTTGAGATTAAACATGTCAGCATTCCCCACAATACCCTACAGAGCTTGGTAGCCAAACCACACACACAGTTAAATTCGTGAACTTCTGTCAGTGTCCTATAAATCTCTCCATATCAAACATTAGTACTCACCCCACTTTCAAATGTTAGTAAAGCAACCTTTCCTCCCAAAAACTCATTGCCAATGAGTCGATTCTGACTCAATGCGACCTCATAGGACAGGGCAACAGTACTGCCCTTGTGGGTTTCTGAGGCTGAAGCAGAAAGCAGACACCTTTCTCCTGCGGGGCAGCTGGTGGTTTTGAACTGTAAACCAACGAGTAACCTTTATGCCACCAGGGCTCCTGCATAGAGCAACCCATGGGTGGGAAGCAAGCAAAGAATCCCACCGCAGAGTTTTGTATGGGTACGAATGGCTCACTCTATCTGGCCGTTTTTTAAACAGGGTTATTTCACATAACAAAACGCTATTTTGCTTCTCCTGCAATGTAGGCAGATCTGACACCTTTCCCACTGACTGGTCCACTGCATAAAAGTTTCCTTGCTCTATCCCACCCCCACCCCCCACCCCCACCCCAGTCGCTCTCATTTTATTCCTCCTGACCCCTCAAAGCATTGGCGTCTGGAACTTTTAACAAGGACTCCAGTGGACTTTGGAGACAGCGCTGGAGCGCTACCCATACAAATTCCAAAAGGCCTCTTATCTGATGGCCTCGTTGTGGTGGGGAGGGGGGGTCGCTTAAGTTTTTTCCCCCCGGCAGAAGAAAAGAAACTGGATGATTGGTGTTTCAAAAGCTGGAAGCGGGCATTTCTACCGCTGCAGGGGAAAAGTCCAAGGCCACAGCGGCTGCAGGACCCTTTAAAAAAAAAGTGACTAAGGTCTATGAGGGTCAAATGGCACCAAAAGGCGCCATCAGGGTGCAGGCGTGGGCTTCGACGTAAACTTTTACCCAGCTTGGCAACCGCGGCCCAGGCCCCGCGACCAGCTAGTACAGTCCTGGGCCTCTCCTCCCAGCAAAACCGGGGATCTCAAGAAGAGCCCCCTCTGAGCGCGGGGGGAGTGGGGCGGGCTGCACCTGACTCTGCGGCCCAGTGTTTGGGGCTCCTCCCCGCAAACTAGCTGGTCCCACCTCTCGCTCATGCGCCCATCAGACACCTCGAGTACAGCTGTACCCCCTCGCCTTCCCTTCACCGCCCCGCCGGACCCCTCGGTTAGTTTACCGGCCGCGGAACCACCAACCCGACTAAACGCAGCTGCGGCTGCGCACGCATCCCCGGGCCCCAAAGCGGGGACTGGCTCCACAAGAACGGGGTTCACGTCCGCCCCCCCAACCTTGGCGTGCTCACCTCCTCCCGCTCCGGTGACCAGCACCACCCGCCCGTCGAACCTCAGCAGCGAGGCCATGCTCCTGGTTGGAGTGACACACACAACGCACACACACCAACACAAGTGGAGCCTCCCGAGCTCCGAGTGCGAGCCCAGGGAAAGAAGGGGCGTGGCAGGGGCGGGGTGAAAGTGACTGGCCGGTTTCCGAGACGGTGACGGCAGCCGTCGTGTACCAAGCACTTCCGCACAAGGGTCCTGGGAAATGTAGTCCAACATTGTCTCCAAGGGACTAGCAAGACCTGCCCAAGAAGTCTTGCTTCTCCAAGGCGGAGTCTAGGTGCCCTAGGATCTGCTGGAACCGGATGGGTAAAATGACTGAGCATCCTGAGTTCATGTATTCGCATATCGTTTCCTCATTCACCCCATAGTGTTTCGGAGGTTAGATGTAGAGCTAAAGAAATAGGACAAGACCACTATCATTCTGCAGTTTTTAGATATTAGAAAGGAAAGGAAACGCATCATTATCATTGATAAAGGCTCATCACAATGAGGTCCTTTTTATTTACTGCATACAAATTGTGAAAGAGGACAATCTTTCAACCTGTACCTGAGGACCTGACATGACTTAAGTTACTGACACAGGTATACTTGGAATCCAAATTTCCTTTGATCGATATCTCTTTAAGTAAACAAGGCTTACTTAAGACTATGATAAGCGTTTTACTCTCAGAAAGATTACTTGTAAACGATGTGTGACAAAGTTATTATTTATAGTTAAACAATAAGGGTGTTGTTCCAAGAAGGAAATGACAAGAATGTGTCCCTCTCACCACCACCACCACCCACACAAAGATGTTTCCGAATGCAGTTTATTAATGCAGAGAGTCTGTGATAGAAAATAGATTAGCTGGTGTGGTAGTTTTACATAATCTGGTGTCAATTTGAGAGGATTATGAGTGAAGGGGTGGAGTTTGGCCTGCCATTCAAGATAC